CGAGGTTTGGTTCCTGTGAAGGCTTTTAGATATTTAACCAATAACAAACAAAGTATAATGTGATGTTAACCGTGGTTTGGAATCTGAGTCTGAATTGCACACGGCTCGACTAATCCTTTCCTACGGTTTCCACTCTCCTCTCGCTCTCCTCCCGGGCTCGAAAAATAAATATGTGAACCCCCCCCCACACACACACACACACAACACAACAAACACCACACACATCACAGTGGTGGGTAGTCTAATTTTTTTGTAGTGGGTATATGTAATAATTGTATTCATCCTGTCCTCGAAAGCAACACCTTCAATCTGAACACCATCACACTTACCTAACTGCATAGACTAGTCTCGTGAGACTGTTATGCTGTTATCAACATGTCATGTATATAAGCGCATTTGTATGTGACTTTTAACTGCCCAGTGACATTACAATAAAAAAATTCTAAAAATGAACACAATGATGGAAAAAGCCCACTTATCTTCTAGGGTTGAACATTAATCGACATCCTTGTATCAAAATCTCGAATATGGCCGACTGCAAACACTGTCTCTGACACAGCTCTCACCAAATTTCCAACTATAATCCCTTTCCACCCTTCTCCGTGAGCTCCTGGGCTATTTTGTGTGCTCTGGACGTCTCATGTCGTCTAATCTTGTTTCTCAAAGAGGCCATGAGATGTTGATCTTGAATCTGAGGACCTGGATCTTAATAGTACAACCCACGTTCCTCAGACATAGACACTCGTTGTTCTGTGAGGACACCTGTTGATTCTTGTAGCTGCTGCAAAGAGCAGCAACCTGGAAATAAACAAACCATGACTAATGTAGCATAATAAAGTTTTTACCAATAATATCTGCCAGAAAAGAGCCAAGATTACTCAAAAGTATTGTAAATAAACCTGCTTACAATATTACATCATGCTAACAAATGCAGGAAAAGCAGATAAAAGGAGAAAAATGTTGCCTACTTTTTCAATAGCTAATTATTTGACAATCTACTGACAACTAACATAGTAGTAATATAATGGTGCAAAGTGTTTCTAAAAACAACTTTAAAATGACATGAATTAACTCTCATTTGCATAGTCATTGACTTTATGAATTTATGTTGTTTGAGATCAGCTTTTTCTTTGCATGTGTGCTGACATTTACGCTAACTTTTTTGCCCTCCACTCTAACCAAGCGGACTGCTCGTATTCTTACATTCCAGCTCTGTTACGTTAATGATTAAACCATTGCTAATTCCACTTACGCGGGTAAATTTGCGTAGCGCCGGGCCTCGTTCTCTGTCACCTTTAGGACAGCCGCCTGACCTGGCTCTTCTTCTGGTAGTGGTATAGGGGAAAACTCTCGGAAAACATAAAATATTTTCGCTGTTTTTCGTTTCAATGTTTGCTTCCTGTTTAGCGCCTCCGGAACGTTGAATGATCTGGACGGATCAAATTCTGATAACGTTAAGAGAACGTGCGGGTTTGTCAGAGCCGAACAAAGTGTGTTGCGTTGCGTTCAGCAACAGGCCAAAGGCGACGGAACAGCCCCCAGACTCCAAAAGTAATTAACACAGAAGGGGCGAAAGCGTGAAAGCCGCAGTCACAAAATGATGTTGTTAATGTATCATCGCTCATTTTTAAGAGGGCAATCACGAAATCATCTGGCATTTCAGTGGGTATACGGCGTATACCAGCGTATCACGTTAGACTGACACCACTGCACACCACACGACACACCACAACACGACACACACACACACAACACACACACACACACAAACACACACACAACACACACACACACAACAAAGACGTGGATAACCCCAATTTGGTGTTATTTGAGACTGAAGGGGATGTTGCATTGTTTCTTGTTGGCTTTCGTTGGCAGTTTTATATAGTATCTTAATAATGTAAATTTAGGTGAACTTCTGTTTCATTTGTATGCTTTTATTTTGAAGGCGAGTTAACGCGCTGAACCAGGAAGTGGCTGTAGCGTTTTGAAAAACAACGTGACTCAGAAAGTAATAATCTTTCTATGGTAACAGGCGGAGAATAGAATAACGGACCTGTATATTCTAAATGTTAGCACCGCCCGAAGAAGGCTCAAGCTCTGGAGTTTGAATACATTCTTGGTTCATCAGTAAGCATACGATCATTATTCGGAGGAAATGCTACATAAGACTATAACACTCCTGTTGTGCAAAATGTTGAATATACGGTATAACCGTAAATAGAGCATGTTTCTACGCCCCCCGGCTGCTCTCACTGAGGGGCTAACTGGTACTGGATGTGTAATCGTGTAATCTTTCATATTTCTTATCTTCTTGGAGATATGAACCCGTCTCTGGCTCTTTGCTGTAACCATGGACGTCTCCATCTGTGGGACGGATACACGGTATTCTGATCCAAATATAGAATAAAGTTCATAGCTAATAAATATTTGCAGGAAACATTCATATAGAATTAAAGAAATACAATAAAAGAAGATATATGTATACAATAAAACATAATACTGTAGTTCAATTCACGCATTAAAAGCCTGTGGCAGTTGTACCAAGTGTAATGCCTAGACAGATATATAGTCCTGAATATGTGCCTCATGGTAAAGCTAATACTTGGTTTTCCCATAAAAGCCTCGTTACCGTCCTCCCATGACTTCCTGTTTATAATATTTCCTGAGGTGATGTCCCAGGCTTCATTTCTCCTCTCCTTTCTTTAATGCTTTCACTCATGTGTCTCAGATCTGTAATGCTCCCTGTGCATATGGGATGCATTCAGAACAGAGACATAGTGCATTATGGGATGCATTCAGAGACATAGTGCATGCATCAGGCGTCAGAAACAGATCTGAGAATGCTAATGATTCCGCGGGAAAATGAGTGCAGAATAGAGAGGAATCTGCAGGCAGCCTGAGACACCACTGAGACACACTGAGAAAACTGAGAGACATCAGAGAGCACACTGGAGAGACACTGAGACACACAGAGAGACCTGAGACACACTGAGAGACACACTGAGACACACTGAGAGACACACTGAGGAGAGACACACTGAGAGACACAGAGACACACTGAGACACACAGAGACACACTTGGAGAGACAGCACTGAGACAACACTGAGAGAGACACTGAGACACACAGAGACACACTGAGACACACAGAGACACACTGAGACACACGAGAGACACTGAGACACACTGAGAGACACCACTGAGAGACACTGAAGACACACTGAGAGAAACACACTGAGACACAAAGAGCCCTGAAGACACACACTGAGCAATGATAACACACTGAGAGACACTGAGATTAGCACCTGAGACAACAACTGAAAGACACTGAGACACACTGAGAACACTGAGACAATGAGACACACTGAGAGATACTGAGACACACTGAGAGACCTGAGATACTGAAGATGCTGAGACACACTGAGAGATACTGAGACACACTGAGAGACACACTGAGACACACTGAGAGACTGAGAGACACTGAGACACGCACTGAGACACACTGAGAAGATACTGAGACACACTGAGAGACACTGAACACACTGAGAGAATACTGAAACACACTGGAGACACTACCGAGAAGGGGGACCGCGGGCACTGAGAGACACTGAGACCCAACCTGAGAAAACACCATGAGAACACAATGAGACCACTGAGAGATACTGAGACACACTGAAGACACACCTGAGAGACACCAGAGACAACCTGAGACAGCACAGAGCACACCACTGAGAGAATCACACTGAGAGAGCATCACTGAGAGACACAGAGACACACTGAGAGAGACACTGAGACACACAGTAGACACACTGAGACCACACTGAGAGAGAGGCACTGAAGAACACAGAAGACAGACTGAGACACACAGAGACACACTGAGAGACACTGAGACACACTGAGAGCACCCGGAGACCACTGAGAGACACTGAACACACTGAGACACACTGCAAGACACACAGAGACACACTGAGACACACTGAGACAGATGAGATCACACTGAGAGACACTGAGATCACTGAGAACAAGCACTGAAGACACTGAGACACACTGCAGAGACACTGAGACAATGAGACACACTGAGAGAGATACTGAGACACACCTGAGAGACACTGAGATAGCTGAGAGATGCTGAGACCCGATGAGATACTGAGACACACTGAGAGACCAAAACTGAGGATACACTACGAGAGAACACTGAGACAACACTGAGAGATACTGGACACACTGAGACACACTGGAGAGATACTGAAACACACTTGAAGACACACCGAGATACACTGAAGAGACAGCTGAGACACACCTGAGACACACTGAGACACACTGAGAGACACAACTGAACACCAATGAGACACACTGAGAGATAGCTGAGACACAACGAACACAACACTGAGAACCACACGGAGACCACACTGAGAGAAACTGAGAGACACTGAGAACACACAGAGACACACTGAGACACACTACTGAGAGACACTGAAGCACACTACTGAGAGACACTGAGACACACTGAGAAGACACTGAGACATCACTGAGACATGTTCTAACGGTGTTGCTCATATGTCTAACGTGTTGCTCATATGTTAAGTGTGGTTGCTCGTATGTTCTAAACGTGTTGCTCACTATGTTCCCGTGCCTGCCGTAATGTTCAAGCCGTAGTTGCTCGTAGTTTAAACGTGTTGCTCATAGTTCTAAAGCGTGTTCTCATATGTTCCCCACCCAACGTGTTGCTCATATCCTTCTAAGCGTGTTGCTCGTAATGTTCTAAGCGTGTTGCTTCGTATGTTACTAAACGTGTTGCTCATATGCTCTTAAAGTGTGTTGCTCATATGTTCCTTATACGTGTTGCGCTCATATGTTCTAAGCAGTGTTGCTCGTATGTCTAAACGTGTTGCTCTCATGTTCGTAAAGCGTGTTGCTCATACTGTTCACTAACGTGGGTTGCTCAATATGTTCTAAGCGTGTTGCTCGTATGGTTCTAAACGGGTTGGCTCATATGTTACTAAGTGTGTTGCCTCAATATGTTCCTAACGTAGTTGCTCATTATGTTCTAAGTTGTTGCTCGTATGTTCTAGAATGTGTGTCTCCATATGTTCTAAGCCGTGTTCTCATAATGTTCTAACGTGTGCTCATATGTTCTAAGCGTCTTGCTCGTATGTTCTAAGCAATGTTGCAACATATGTTCTAAACGTGTTGCCTATATGTTCTAAGTGTGCTTGCCATATGTCTCCTAACAGTGTTGCTCATTATAGTTCCTAACGATGCTGCCGTATGTTGTAAGCGTGTTTGCTCATAGATGTATGCTAAGGTGGTTGCTCATGCTCCTAAAACGTGTTGCATCATTATGTTCTAACGTGCTGCTCGTAGTTCTAAGCGTGTAGCCTCATATGTTCTAAGCGTGGATTTTTTTTTTTTTTTTTTTTTTTTTGGGGCCATATGTTCTAAGCGTGTTCTCATATGTTCCTAACTTGTTGCTCATATGTTCCTAAGTTGTTGCTCAATATGGTTCCTAACGTGTTGCTCATATGTTCCTAACGTAGTTGAGCTCATAATGTTCCCTAACAGTGTGCCATATGTTCTAAGCGTGTTGCTCATATGTT